CAGGCATAGAGTTTTGTTAAGTAAATAAATGAATTATTATGTAGAGAAGGTTTTAAACCAAAGAAGTAGTTCACCAACTCGGAGGAAGTATGGACCATCTTGTCTGATGTATGCAAAGAAGAGTCTTTGATAGAAATGTCAACGAGTTATGACACTACCCACCGAACTCTAGGGTTAGAATGGGATTTTAAACAAGATGTATTCAAGTTTTACTTCGATGCACCTGAAAGGCCTCTGACTAGGAGAGGGATTCTATCTATAGTTTCTTCTCTGTTCGATCCTTCGGGTTTAATATCTCCAGTCTGTCTTACTGCCAAGGTTCTTTTGCAAAAACTATGTAAGTCCCAAATAGGCTTGGAAGAGCCTCTCAACGAGCCATACGTGTCTGCGTGGCTAAATTGGGTAAACTTTATGCGTCAAATAGGTCATGTTACGGTAGCTAGGGGTATTAAGAAGAGAATTGACGAACCCGAAGCGGAAATAGAATTGCACCTGTTCAGTGACGCTTCAGACATCGGTTATGGAGCAGTCGCGTACGAACAAGTCAGTTATTTGAAGGAACAACCCTACCGTATTTTGTTGTGCAGCAATTCTAGGGTAGCACCTATCAAACAGGTTACTATACCGAGGCTTGAAATGGCGGCAGCAGTGTTAAGCGTGAAGTCTTACAGAGAAGCCTGCCTAATTTTTTCTGTAAGGCAAACTTCTATACAGATTCCATGGTAGTGTTGTACTACATCAAAAATATTGAGAACCGCTATAGCACCTATATAGCCAACCGCCTCGCCATTGTCCACCAGTATACGAAAATTGAACAATGGAGTTATGTAAAGTCGTCACAGAATCCAGCTGATTGGACCTCGAGAGGTATACAAACAATGTCAGATCTTGAATTTTGGTTCAAATGTCCTACCTTACTGCATGGCGAATTTTGTACAGCAATCACTGACTGTCCGGAACCTAGCCATGACGATATTGAGTTTAGAAAAACTGCCGTGATTAACTTGAGTAGTATAAAGTACAGTCTGTCACCTATTCTCTCTTATTACTCCGAGTGGTTAAAATTAGTCAGGGCCGTAGCCTGGCTTAGAAGGTTCATGGAATTCCTGCTGATACTTCGTTCACCGAGTCACGAAGGATCCGTTCATCTAGGATGTTTAAAGGTCGAGCTTGACATCGCCAAGCGTAAAATTTTATTGATGGTTCAGAAAGAGGTGTATGGAGAAATACTTAGTGGATTTAAAAACAATGGTAACGTACTTAGTCACAATGATCTGAAGGGCTTATCACCGATAATACTTGATGGGTTACTCTGCGTTGGAAGTCGACTAAGCTACTCAGAGTTCCCAAATGCCTTTAAACATCCAATAATATTGCCCAGTCGACACTTAGTGACAGAAATGATAATTAGACATTATCATAAGGAACAAGGACACACAGGAACGTCACAAGTACTGGCCACGATTCGAAAAAGGTATTAGATAATAAAAGGAATCAGCATGGTTAAGAGAGTGATAGGAAAGTGTGTGACATGCCGGCGGTATACGATGGTTACAAGGCAACAATTGATGGCACCACTTCCAGCTTGTAGAGTGCAACCAGGATGGTACAGCTTCTCAGCCGTGGGAGTAGACTACTTCGGACCCCTTTTTGTCAAAAGAGGAAGATCATTAGAAAAAAGATATGGATGTGTATTTACTTGCTTGCAAACCCGAGTAGTACATATTGAAATGACACATAGTTTGAATACTGATTCGTTTATAATGGCCTTGTTACGTTTTATTGGAAGAAGATGGAAACCTGACGAAATTTACAGTGACAATGGGTCAAATTTCGTGGATGCAATCTCTGAACTAAGGAGATTCGTGCAACAGTTGAATCAACAGAAAGTAGACAAAGAACTGTCAGCTAGACAAATTCAGTGGCATTTTAACCCACCCTCATCCAGCCATAGGGGTGGAGTCTGGGAAAGGATGATTAGGTCCATACGCCGACTGTTATTGTTGATAACTAGAGAACAGACTTTAACCGATGAGACCTTAGGCACTTATTTGATTGAGATTGACAGGATATTGGACGACCGACCCTTAACTCCGATCGTTCAAGATGCTAACGATAAACTAGCCTTGTCGCCAAATAGTTTTTTATTATTGAGAGAATGTGATGGAATAGCCGAAAAAGGTAGCAACAAAGATAAATATGACAAACGTTGGAAACAGGTTAATCATCTTGTTAATGTGTTTTGGAAGAGATGGTTAAGAGAGTATTTACCATCCCTACAAAAACGTCAAAAGTGGTTAGTTGAACACCGCAATTTCCAGAAGGGGGATGTAGTGATCGTAGCTTCGGACATATCGACTCGTGGAAAATGGCCCTTAGGCGTAGTTGAAGATTGTGAAATAGATGACGAACGGTGGATTAGTCAGGAGAGATATACGTAGATTATGCCTCCTTGAAGGCTCAAATTAGTTCCTCGTATTATTAATGTATTTAGGTTGAGTAGGCGTACTGCTGTAAGTCCTACTAGTTCCTGTAGTGTAATATGTTATATGATGAACCATGACCATAGGCATCAAGGTAGCTTGTGTGATATGGAAGGATTTTGGGGGCCGGTGTAAGATCCATTTTGAATGTTTTGTGTTGGTGAAAATCCCTCCATTTATATACTTGTGCTTTGTTCCTATGGATCCCCTTAGTTGTACATCGTTGTCTTTTGATTACGTTTGAATTGTTAATACTTGTATTTTTTATTATAGTTGTTGTCTTTTCGTGCCTTAAGGTAACCCTCGTGCTATTGATAGAAGAAACCAGAGAAGTAGTGAATAGGTCTTTATTTCGATCTTCGCGCAGTCACAGTGGAGCGTGTGATTACCTGTTCAGACAAACAAAGGCTCTCAACATTCAAGATAATAGGGAATATAACGCTTATGAAAAATAAGGAAGTGAATGAATACTTGAACAATACTGTTTTGGCATAAGCTTGGTTGTTTGGGGTCAACTCTTAACCAACCAACCTGAGCTGTTACATTAGCTTCCCCCTAGAATCGACTTCCGTAGGAACGTCGGTTCGATTAACCTATCTATCGAAAACACCTTAGTTCTATTTCTCATCCCAAGGGAAAATTATCAACTCGCTCACTGTTTGACTTACAATCAGTGACGACTAACGCTGTCAACGATAGTCCATGGATGTCTCCTCATTTACTAGCTTGTCATCTTATTTTGTAGCATGTGATCTATTCTACAACTATCGCTGACGGTTTACTGCGTGCTTTCAAGAGAAAGAGTGTGAGAATGTGGAATAAGAATATCTGAGGAAGTGCCGCGAGCGGGCTACCCAACACCATGTTGGTGAGGTACGATTTTCCCATGCTCAGACCGGCTATCAGGTGTTTACTCACCTGCCTCTTGAGTCGCCCTCAAGTAAAAAGTAAAGAAGAATCTACTTCAAAGGTAATGGTGAAAATCAAGCAAACCTGAAGAACTGCTCCACTGCCTGCATAAAATAATAAGATACAAAATGGAAATACAAAAATATAATTTATAATTGTTCGGTTCCACGTAAGTGATTGGCCTCCAGAAAGGATTGGTATTCTGGAAGAAAATAGACATAGTGTAGCCATCTTATGTACGAAAAGGTATGAACACAAAAAAAAACTTTTTCATAATGCATATATGTAAGAGGGTGAACTTGCTAGAAGTTGGACTCATTGTCAAACCCGATCAAATGTATGACCTTGGGCCTATGACGACCGCCTTTTATAACCAGGTACGTAACCAAGGGTGCATAGTTGTACTCCACAAAACGGAAAAGAATATACGGTTAAGGAGGAGAAAAAAATTGTGTAGATTATGAGGATTAAGTACAATTGTGTCAAATACTCTTTTCTGGTTTGATCTAAGTATGTATGATATATTGAAACAATATTTCGTCAATTCATCCAAGTAACGAATTTGTCTGCACCTTAGAAATGTGTAAGTCCTATTACTCATTAGTATTATATACGATTAATCGGTAAAAGGAAAGATTGCAGTCATTCGCCCGTGGTTTGATGTGGTCTAATGGCTAGGCACACGGTCTAGCATCCAGGAGGGCAGAGGTTCGAGTGCGTGTGGGGCTAGCGTTTTCGTTCACCAAAACCCCCTTCAATACGATGTTTGTTGGCCATATGTTGCTCAGATATGAGAGAAAGATAACAGGAGGACGGATTGATATGTCAAAGTGCCATATTGGAATAGTACAAGTTCTTTGTTTTTATTAATAATAATGCTATAGAAAAAAAAACTACAAGTGTGGTAGATTTCCATTTTACGTTATAATTAAACCAACGAGAAAATAAAGGTATATATATATATAAGTTATTGACATAACATGTTTTTTTATAACGCTAGTGTTAAGTTCCAGGATTTTGTATGGAGCACTAATAATAATTGGTTTAACGTTAGCATAGCTGTGATATTCATATTAGTTCAATGTTGTGATTACTTAACAGTTCCCTTATAAGTTGTGTTTAAAATTAGGTATGTGGAATCAATGCGGCTAACATAGTAACCTTACAGTAACGCACTGTACTATATCTTCACGGTTATTGATTCTTAAATGTCAGAAATTTAAAAAAAATTTGAATATTGCCAATAATGATGGGTTATATGATCACACTAAAAAGCATGCAGTAGGAAAACTGGTTAAGTCATTATGTAAGTTTCCTAAACATGAAATAACTGATGAGAACTTTAATAAGTATTTGACCATGGTTTAATCCAAAATATTTTGTCTAGAAAACCACTTATTAATAGTAGTATTAAGCGTATCAAGCTACTAAACACATCTTCGACCGAAAACTTTTAGAATTAGTTCATATGGTATATATGTATAGCCAGTCTACGTGAAAAATGTATATAAATATATAAGAAGTACAGCCAACATAGTTAATTAACCAGAAAAAGAAATTATAAAACTCGCCTGGGTTGCTTTTTGAATTCGTTGTATTTGCCAGTGTTAGTTGTATGAGTTTGATTAAAATCCGCAGCCATCGTTTCGGAATACCTAGCTTATGTGTCCAGTATTTAAAAAAAATTTAACATAACACTTATATATCAAAGGTAAGAGGTCTGGGGAGTTGTCGGTGAGGCGGAATGAGGAAAAAAAAATTATTTTTAAGTAGATGAAGGGTGTGATTAGCTACGTGGTTATATTTTATCCTGCAGCTGAAACTGTCAACATCCTTGATTGGCTAATCGGATGTGCCCAGCGAACCGTTTTAGTCATTTGTAAAGATTTATCGTTTTTGCATTTCGATTCCGTAATGGATTTGTCAGTTAAACGATCTAACAACACGTATGGTGGTTCATGATCTAGATAAGCCGGCTTTAGCCTATCAATACTTACTGTGTCGATGTTTCCATGTTTTTCTATCACGAAATATTTAGATTTTCTTGAGACGACTTTGAAAGGACCTTCAAATGGAGGACTGAGTGGTGCTTTTATTTTGTCACATCTTATCCAGACGTGCGTGCAATTGCTTAGGTCTTTAGGTATATATACGGGGCGCGATTGTTCACGAGTATTAATCGGCTTAAGTTTAGACATGTGGTCCCGTAGTTGATCTACATAATTTTCTAAATTAAGTTTTTGACTGTTAGTATTAGGGTTAATAAATTCACCTGGTAGTCTCAGAGTTGTTCCGAAAACCAGTTCCGCAGCTGAACACTGTGCGTCAGTTTTGACAGATGTTCGTATTCCCAACATAACTAACGGTAGGAATTCTGTCCACTAATTGGGGTTTGAGTGAGATATAAGGGCGGTTTTTAGCTGACGGTGAAAACGTTCTCCCATCCCATTAGCCTGAGGATGATATGCAGTGCAGCGTATCCTATTGGAGCCTAGACGTTTAGCCAAGTTATTAAATAGTTCGGATTCGAATTGCGCTCCTCTATCCGTCGTTATTGTTATGGGTGTACCAAAAATGGTTACCCAGTTCTGCATGAAAACTTTGGCTACTGTTTCCTCTGTGATGTCCGCTATCGGAATGGCTATAGGGAATCTGGTAAATCGATCTATGCATGTAAAAAGATAATTAAAACCGTTTGAACGAAGTAAAGGACCTACCAAGTCGATATGCACATGGGCAAAACGTGCATCTGGTTGCGAGAAAACACCTATGGGTGAATTTGTGTGACGATTAATCTTTGATTGTTGACATGCTGAACACTCTCTAACCAATTTGTGTACATCCTTCTGTAAATTCGGCCATATATATCTGGCATTGATTAGTTTTGTTGAAGCTTTCGCGCCAGGATGAGACAAAGAATGAAAGTTATTATATACCAACTTTCGCATATTTTTGGGAACGAAAGGTCGCGGCATTGCCTTGGTCGTGTCACAATAAATTAGAATACCATCGATAGGTGATGGGAATTGTTTTAAATTAAGACTTGAATTGTTTGTTTTAAGTAGGTTTTGCAATTCTAGGTCCTGCTTTTGTTCGTGTTTTAACGTCTCGAAGTTTACTGTAGACTGCTGTAGCACGTTCATTTCTAGTCTGGATAAAGCATCTGCCGCCTGATTGTCCTGACCTTTGACATGTCGGATATCGCTTGTGAACTGTGATATATAGTCAAGGTGTCGGACTTCTCGAGGTGAGTATTTATCGGCTCTCGCTTTTAATGCATTCGTCAGTGGTTTATGATCCGTAAAGACTACAAATTCCCTACCTTCTAACATGTGTCGGAAGTGTTTAATGGTCAGGTAGATTGCAAGAAGTTCTCGCCCGAAGGTAGAATACCTTGTTTTGGCTGGAGCGAGTCTTTTCGAGAAAAAAGCAATTGGTTTCCAGGCGTTTTTAACCAGTTGGTTAAGGGTACCGCCTACTGCTTTATCTGAAGCATCCACCATCAAAGCAAGTGGGGAAAGAGAATTCGGATATATCAACGTAGTTGCTTGAGCCAGTTTATCTTTAAGCTGTTTAATAGCTTCGATGGCGTCAGAAGACAGTTTGAATTCTTTTGGTTTTCCTTTAAGTGAATCTGTCAAAGGTTGCATTAATTGCGCACAACCTGGTATGAATCTGCGATAAAAGTTAATTAGGCCTAGAAAACTTCTCAGTTGTGTTAGAGAACTAGGTACGGGGTATTGTTTGATAGTATCCACTTCTTTTTTTATAGGTTTAATCCCTTCTGGGCTTATTGTGTGACCGAGAAATTCTAAAGTTTGAACACCGAAAACACACTTACTTTGATGTATGTTTATTCCATGTTCATCCAGTCTTTTCAACACTGCTTGTACATGCTGTTCGTGTGATTGCAAATCGGGGCTGGCAATTAACAAGTCGTCTATATACACCTGCGCAAATGGCATATCTCCAAGTAGGTTATCTATGAATCTTTGAAATGTCTGTGCCGCATTTCTCAGGCCGAATGGCATGCGTACAAACTCGAATAAGCCAAAGGGTGTAGTAATAGCTGTCTTGGGAATATCTTCATCAGCCACCGGGATATTGTGATATGCCCTGACTAAGTCAATTTTAGTGAATATGTTCATACCCTGTAAACCGTTGGTGAAATCTTGGATATGAGGTATTGGGTACCTATCAGGTACGGTTTGACGGTTTAGGGCTCTGTAATCCCCGCACGGTCGCCAGTCACCTTCATTCTTCTTTGGGACCATATGCAAAGGGGATGCCCATTGACTATCAGAGGGACGGATGATACCCAGTTGTAGCATATAATCAAACTCGGCCCTAGCGATTTTGAGCTTATCTGGTGCTAGTCTCCTGGATTTTGCAAACACCGGTGCACCTTCGGTTTCGATAGTGTGACTCACTTTTAGTTTGTCTTTAGAAGGCTGTGGGTTTGGTTTAGTTAAGTTTGGAAATTGCGCGAGTATATCTTGGAATTTCGCTGTTGTTACTGGGGGAGTTTGAATCAAGTTAAGAGAGTTGATGTGACTTTCTTTGCCTTTTGTGTAATACGAAGTTTCTTTTAGTGTTAATCGCCGTTTCTTGGTGTCAACTAGAAATTCGTATCTCTCTAGAAAGTCCATCCCCAGTATTGCCAGATCTAGGTCGGCTACCGTGAAAACCCAAGGGAATTGCCTCCTGAACCGCAAATCTAGGGTTAAAGTTTTCTGCCCAAATGTCGCAATTTTAGTTTTATTTGCAGCTTGAAGTGTAATTGATGATGTTTCTCGACTAATCTCAGTTTTATTTCGAGGGATGATGCTAAGAGCAGCGCCAGTATCCACCAAGAAATTCAAGCCCGAGTTTCTGTCTCTAACATAAAACAAGCGACTGTTTAGGCGCCCCTCCTCAGTCGTCGCGACCTGGGGGGGGTTACTCGTTTCCCGCTGTCTTAGAATTATGCTTAGGCCAGGCGCATGGTTGCATGCACTTGGTTGAGTTGACACCAAACTTCCAGTGGTACCAACAAAACTGCCCAGATTGTCTGGACATTTGTGACCTGTTTTGTGACTTGGATCGTAGTCGTTGTGGTGACCTGCTCCTGTTTCTATGACCCATTTGCATTCTGGTGACAGCCTCAGTGAGACTCTTAACACTCGCAATGAGTCCTTCTATTACGGGGTCTTTTGCTGATTCTACTTTTTGTGTGTGATTTATTGTGCCTGATCTAGTTGGAGGACCTCTTTCCATTATTCTGTCGGCTATACGCGCTAAATGAGATAATGAGGTTTCAGGATCCTGTGCATCCAAACAGTGTTGGACGTAGCATGGGAGAGCTTGTATCCATCCTTGTTTTAGGACTGCTTCACCCACTGTGTTATCACCCACTAAGACTCGGAGGTGACGTAAAAACTGTGACGGCGACCGATCACCTAGTGTTTCACCTTGAAAAAGTCTTTGGATTATTTGACTATCTGATAATGATAAACGGTTCATTATCTCTTGTCTTAAGATGGTGTATGGTTGTGGTGATGGTGGACTTAAAATCAAGTCACGGACTTCTTTGGCGACTGAAGGAGGAAGGATAGAACACAAGTCTCTATAGCGAATCCCTTCAGATTTGATATTGTGTCTCGTGAAATAATGCTCTAGTTGAGCAAACCACAACTCAGGATCACTATGATCAAATTCTGGAAGTCGGGATTTCGTAGTCATAACAGTGTCTATCTCCACTGGTGACAAATCCTCCAGATTATGAGTTTCTATTGAGTCTGACATGAGGTATGTGACAAATATAGCAATAAAGTTAGCACGAAAAGTGGTTACTATAACACGAATAACTTAAGATAATACGGAATAAACTAGTTATATACTCAAATTAGTTTACGGATAATCAGGTCTACTTTTACGATTAAGTAAAAAAATGTTAATAACAGAAATGAGGTTAAATTTGTGTTCTAAAAGGGCTCACCAGTTTCGTGCCTTAAGGTAACCCTCGTGCTATTGATAGAAGAAACCAGAGAAGTAGTGAATAGGTCTTTATTTCGATCTTCGCGCAGTCACAGTGGAGCGTGTGATTATCTGTTCAGACAAACAAAGGCTCTCAACATTCAAGATAATAGGGAATATAACGCTTATAAAAAATAAGGAAGTGAATGAGTAATTGAACAATACTGTTTTGGCATAAGCTTGGTTGTTTGGGGTCAACTCTTAACCAACCAACCTGAGCTGTTACAGTCTTTCTTACGCCTTCACTAAGTTTGTGTTTCTTCCCGAACTGCATCTGTGTTGTTTTACTTGACACTTGTTCTTGGCGGCAGCCATATTTATTTGCTCCTACTTTTGTGTGCGTTCTATCCAGTCAGGATAGAATAACGTTCATTTGTTGTGACTGGTAATTTTTCCTCATCTTCTATCAACTTCTTTATTTATTGTAATTTAGATTTGATTGGTTGAACAATTATTGGTTGAAAAGTCGGGTGGTAATATTTATTTAGGTAACGATTTACATTTAAATTTATGATGAATTATAGAACCGTTATTTACCCGATAACTTGTTTTGATTTCGACGGGAAAGGGCGCGTGTCTAACGTACCTGGACGGTTATTCTTCAACATCCAAACCGTAGTTTGGATTCTACACCGCAGTGTACCCAATGTCAGCTTTCGCTGCATTGCGAATATCTAGTAAGACGAGTGGAAGTGCGTCGAAATGTAGTCCAGTTGTCGAGACTCACGAGGTGAGTACCTGTCTAAAGAAGATCTTAACGAGAAAGTAAGAGGTTTATGGTCAGCGAAAAGGGTGAATTCACGGCCTTCGATATAGTGTTGAAAGTGCCGTACAGCACAATACATAGCCAGGAGTTCCCTACCGAATGTGCTGTACCTCGATTCGGTGTCTAGCAACCGTCTGGAGAAAAATGACAAAGGTTGCCAGGAGTTGTTAACCCATTGTTGTAAGACTCCTCCGATTGTTGAGTCGGATGCGTCTACTGCGATGCTAATGGGTGCTTGAGTGTCCTGATGAGCAAGCATTGTTGCTTTAGCGATAAGTTCCTTAACTGTGGAGAATGCTTTTCGTGCGGTGTCGTTCAGATTGATGGATTTCGCATTTCCACGAAGTTGATCGGTAAGAGGCTTCATAAGTGATGCGCATTTCGATATGAAACGTTAATGGAAACTTACCAAGCCGTTAAACGTGCGTAATTGCTTGACGATGGTCGGTTCTGGGTAATCCAGGATGGCCGCCACTTTGGTTCTAAGGGGTCGAATCCCTTGAGCATCGATAGTGTGTCATAGGAAGTCTAATGAGTCAGCTTCGATCTGGCATTTCTGGACGTTTACATTAATGCCATGTTTTTGTAGTCAGTCGTAGACAAGATCCAGATGCTTGAGATGCGA